TTGAGCATTCCTGATTTTAATCACACTGTCAATGGTTACCATGTCGCATAGCTGCCAATACTCTAAAAACTCTGGAATTTCCACTGGAAAGACAACTGTCAACCTCCTCCTTGATGTAGGATGGTTCTCCCCATCCCATGATTTTGGTCACCTGTCCAATTAGCACCTTCTCCAGGGTCAACGTTTGTTTTCTATAATGCTCCAGCTATGTAAACTTGACATCTTATGTTACAGAGACCATAGATTAAAAAAAAGTTGATATGAAAGCAATGTAGATGTAACAAAGAAGTGTAGATCCTGGAAATCAAAAACAAAATCAGAAATTGCTGTAAAAACTCAGCAGATCTGGCAGCATCTCTGGAGAGAAAGCGAAGTTAACATTTCAGGACTATTGAGCCTTCTTCAAAACTCAACATGTAATATATAGATGCTAAGAAGGTGTTTAGTGAGAATCGTCCTCCGTGGGAAGGAAGTTATGATCAAAATCAAAACTTACAAAGCCAACTAAACTCTGCAGGCGTTTCCTGCAGCAGGGCAGTGAGATACTGCCAGTTGTGACATTGTTCAATGGGAGTTGGCAGTCAACGGGAGCGAGACTGACAGCGAAATGACTACATCTCCCAGAATGCCGCGGGGGGCTGCACATGCGCAACAGCTGAACGTCATCGTCATCCGACGGTGACGGCATGCCTCGCCTCTCTACCAATGGGAAAGCGCCATTGTACAAGGTCGGCGGTGACGGCAGAAAGGAGCCAATGAGAAGAGGCGATGCTGGCTCCGCTGGTGCCGTCTGTGGGAGGTTTGCGGCCATCTCGCGTTGTCAGGGTTTGAGGAGGAGAAGTGGCGGTCGTGGTGGCCGAGGTTGCCTGCGATATTTATTTAGGCAGACTTCCCCATCTCTCTCCCTTCCTCCCCTTACCCCCTTCCCTCTCCCTCCCCGCTCTCGGGCGCTGGGCCGGGCTGACATCGCGCGATGCCGGTCCGCACTGAGTCGGCCTCGCTGATCCCGCCGCCCCCCATCAACACTCAGCAGCCTGGGGTCGCCACCACGCTCCTGTACAGCGGCTCCAAGTTCAGGGGCCACCAGAAGAGTAAAGGCAACTCGTATGACGTGGAAGTTGTGCTGCAGGTAACATTCTGAATGCACATCAGTCTTTTAAACCTCTGCTCACTCCTTAGAGGGCGGATCAGTGTCACATCGAAACTCACTGTTGACATTCGGCTTACAATTTGTTTCTCTCTTGTTTCCTGTAAATACTATGAATGCCAGCACCCATTAGATAACCTTCTTTGCATGTGTGAAAAAAAAGATCAGAACAAGGGAGGACAATTTCGATCATCACACCCGTTCTCTTCCTGAGCCCGTCTGTTTGAGTTTCTACTCAGTCATTTTATAAAGTCATCGTATTGTGCATGTCTGTCTTCGATGTTGTTAGAAACAAAAGTGGCGAATGTTGGAGGCAGTCTGATGGTGAGACAGCATTTGCAGAGCAACAGACTGATTCATGTTTCCAGTACTAATCCTCATTTTGCCACTAGAACATAGGAGATCAGTAATTTGATTCTGTCATTTTTATATTTGTTTTCTTTCTTTCTTCAGATTTATTCTGATACATGTTCTGCTTGTAGTTATTTTGCTTTATAGGTTTGTGTCTTCTTTGCCAGTCACTCCTCATTGGCTGTCATCGAGTTACAGTTGAAAATGTTCCATAGAATCACTACAGTGTGCAAGAAGGCCGTTTGGGCCATCGAGTCCATACCAACCTTCTGAAGACCATCCCATCCTGACCCTACCCTATGCCTGTAATCCTGCAACTCCCATGGCTAACCCACCTAATCTACACATCCCTGGACACTGTGGGCAATTTAGCATGGACAATCCACCTAACCTGCACGTCTTTGCACTGTAGGAGGAAACCAGAGCACCCGGAAGAAATCCCCGCAGACACGGGGAGAATGTACAAACTCCACACAGTCACCTGAGGTTGGATTTGAACCCGAGTCCCTGGTGCTGTGAGCCAGCATGATACCCTACTCTTTGTAAACCTTTTGAATTGATTATCTGCAATGTCTATTTTGTTTTCTGTAGCTTACAGCTCTAAGTTTGCTACTGCTAGGAATGTAAGTAGGCCGTTCAATCTCTTGAATCTGTTCCATCGTTCTATCTGATAATGACTGGTCTACACCTCAGTAGTAATTACTTGCTGATGATGTGTATTATTTGGTACTTTTACCTAACAAGTATCATTATTTGTCTTAATATTTCAATTAACCTATTCAATGTTTCAAATGAATTTATTACTTTTTCTGTGGAAAAAATCCTTCCTGATTTCACTCCTGAATGATCTCACTCTAATTTTAAAATTGGCCCCCTTCTTTGAACTCCAGGAGTGTTTTTCTGCCTGCATCTACAAAATCATTTTGATTACCTTAAGTCTCCTGCAACCTACTAAGTTTGAGAGAGTACAAATCAAATTCACACAGAGTATTCATAATTCACCTCTTTAAGCCCAGGTATCTTTTTGTTGAGTCTGTGTTGTACTTCCTTGAACACCAATTTACCTTCCCTGTAATGTACCTACGGTACAGAAGGAGGCACATGGCAGGTATAGATAGCTGAGATCGAGTGAATCACTCAGAATATAAGGACCGCAGGAGTATACTCAAGTGCAAAAAGGGGATACAAGACAGCTTTAGCATATAGAGTTAAGGAAAACCCAAAGACATTCTACAAATGTATTAAGTGCAAAAAAGTTAATTAGGGAGAGAATAGAGCCCCTTAAAGATTAACAAGGCTATCTATATGTGGACCCACAGGAGACGGGTGAAATACTAGGGTATTTCAAGTCAGTATTCGCTGTGTAAAAAGATACGAGAGCTAGAAAACTTGGAGAAATGAGTAGTGATATCTTGAAAAGCGCCCACATTTACAGAGGAGGTGGTTCTGGATGTCTTAAAATGCACAAAAGTGGATAAATCTCCAGAACCTGATCAGGTGTATCCCCCTCTATGGCAAGTGAGGGAAGTGTTTTCTGCGACCATTGCTGAGATATTTAAACCATCGACAGCCATGGGTGAGATACCGGAAGACTGGAAGGTGGCTAATGTGGTGCCATCATTTAAGAAAAGTACCAAGAAAAGCCAGGGAGCTATAGACTGAGATAACAAGGTGTAGAGCTGGATGAACACAGCAGGCCAAGCAGCATCATAGGAGCAGGAAGGCTGATGTTTCGGGCCGAGACCCTTCATCAGAAATGGGGGAGGGGAAGGAGGTTCTGAAATAAATAGGCAGAGAGGGGGAGGTGGATAGAAGATGGATAAAGGAAAAGATAGGTGGAGAGGAAACAGACAGGTCAAAGAGGCGGGGATGGAGCCAGTAAAGGTGAGTGTAGGTGGGAAGGTAGGGAGGAGATAGGTCAGTCCAGGGAGGACGGACAGGTCAAGGAGGCGGGATGAGGTTAGGTAGGAGATGGGGGTGCGGCTTGAGGTGGGAGGAGGGGATAGGTGGGAGGAAGAACAGGTTAGGGAGGCGGGACGAGCTGGGCTGGTTTTGGGATGCGGTAGGAAGAGGGGAGATTTTGAAGCTTGTGAAATCCCTACCTACGTCCGTGACACCACCCACTCCCTCCACCTCCTCCAGAACTTCCAATTCGCTGGTCCTCAACACCTCATCTTTACCATGGACGTCCAGTCCCTATACACCTGCATTCCCCATATAGATGGCCAAAGGCCCTCCGCTTCTTCCTGTCCCACAGGCCCGACCAGTCCCCCTCCACTGACACCCTCATCCGCTTAGCCGAACTCGTCCTCGCCCTCAACAACTTCTCTTTCAATTCCTCCCACTTCCTACAGACAAAGGGAGTGGCCATGGGTACCCGCATGGGCCCAAGCTATGCCTGCCTCTTTGTAGGTTACGTGGGACAATCCCTCTTCCGTAGCTACACTGGCCCTAAACACCACCTCTTCCTCCGTTACATTGATGACTGTATCGGCGCTGCCTCGTGCTCCCGCGAGGAGCTCGAACAGTTCATCCTCTTCACCAACACCTTCCACCCCAACCTTAAGTTCACCTGGACCGTCTTTAATACCCCTCTCGCCTTCCTGGACACCTCTGTCTCCATCTCAGGCGACCACCTAGAAACCGATATCCATTTCAAGCCCACCGACTCCCACAGCTACCTAGAATACACCTCCTCCCACCCACCTTCCTGCAAAAATGCCATCCCCTATTCCCAATTCCTTCGCCTCCGCCGCATCTCCTCCCAGGATGAGGCATTCCACTCCCGTACATCTCAGATGTCCTCGTTTTTCAAGGACTGCAATTCCCGCCCCCCCTCAGTGGTCGAGAACGCCCTCCACCGTGTCTCCCGCATTTCCCTCAACTCATCCCTCACACCCTGTCCCCGCAATAACAACCAAAAAAGAATCCCCCTCGTCTTCACGTACCACCCCACCAACCTCTGGATCCAACGCATCATCCTTCGACACTTCCACCATCTGCAATCCGACCCCACCACCAAAGACATTTTCCCCTCCCCACCCTTATCTGCTCTCTGTGACTCCCTTGTCCGCTCCACACTCCCCTCCAGCCCCACCACACCCGGCGCTTTTCCCTGCAACAGCAGGAAGTGCTACACGTGCCCCCACACCTCCTCCCTCACCCCCATCTCAAGCCCCAAGAAGACTTTCCACATCAAGTAGATGTTCACCTGCACATCTGCTAATGTGGTATACTGCATCCGCTGTACCCATTGTGGCCTCCTCTACATCGGGGAAACCAAGCGGAGGCTTGGGGACCGCTTTGCAGAACACCTACGCTCGGTTCGCAATAAACAACTGCACCTCCCATTCCTCGGACGACATGTCCATCCTGGGCCTCCTGCAGTGCCATAACGATGCCACCCGAAGGTTGCAGGAACAGCAACTCATATTCCGCATGGGAACCCTGCAGCCCAATGGTATCAATGTGGATTTCACAAGCTTCAAAATCTCCCCTCCCCCTACCGCATCCCAAAACCAGCCCAGCTCGTCCCCGCCCCCCCAACCTGTTCTTCCTTCCACCTATCCCCTCCTCCCACCTCAAGCCGCACCTCCATCTCCTACCTACTAACCACATCCCGCCCCCTTGACCTGTCCGTCCTCCCTGGACTGACCTATCTCCTCCTTACCTCCCCATCTACACTCCCCTTTACTGGCTCCATCCCCGCCTCTTTGACCTGTCTGTTTCCTCACCACCTATCTTCTCCTCTATCCATCTTCTATCCGCCTCCCCCTCTCTCCCTATTTATTTCAGAACCCCCTTCCCCTCCCCTGTTTCTGATGAAGGGTCGAGGCCCGAAATGTCAGCCTTCCTGCTCCTATGATGCTGCTTGGCCTGCTGTGTTCATCCAGTTCTACACCTTATTATCTCAGATTCTCCAGCATCTGCAGTTCCTACTATCTCTGAGCTACAGACTGAGCCTGACGTTAGTGGTAGGTAAGTTGTTGGAGGGGATTCGGAGAGACAGGATCTGTATGTATTTGGAAATGCAAGGACTGATTAGGGATAGTCAACATGGCTTTGTGCATGGGAAATTATATCTCATTAACTTGATTGAACTTATTGAAGAAGCAACAAAGAAGATTGAAGCCAGACTGGTGGACGTTGTCTGTATGGACTTCAGTAAGGTGTTCAGCAGGGTTCTGCATGGTAGACTAGTTAGCAAGGTTAGAACACATGAAATCCAAGGAGAGCGAGCCCTTTGGATACAAAATTGTCTTGAAGGTAGGAGACAGAGGATGATGGTGGAAGGTTGTTTTATCGATTGGAGGTCTGTGACCAATGGTGTACTGCAAATATTGATGTTGGGTCTACTGCTTTTTGTTCATTATACAAATGATTTGGATGTGAATGTAGGAGGAATGGTTGATTAGTAAGCTTGCAGGTGACACCAAAATTAGTTGTGTAGTGAACAGTGAAGAAGATTATCTTAGGGTACAACGAGACCTTGATCGGATGGGCTGAGAAAGAGCAGATAGAACTTAATTTGGATAAATGTGAGGTGTTGCATTTTGATAAGGCAAATCAAGGCAGGACTCGTACACTTAATGGTGGGGTCCTGGGGAGTGTTGACGCATAAGGAGACCTTT